AAGACCTCTCCAAGATCATACAGAAGGTTCTCGCTTGCAGGTCAGCATAGTTAACATATTACTTATGTTTTTGTCATTTTACATGTGGTTTAACATTAAATGTGATTTTGTTACAGAAAAGAATTAGTCACCTACGATAGATCCCAAAGCGAGCAATTAAAGGGTGAAACATTGCCCGTGTACGCTGGTTTGGTTCAAACTTACGACGGAGATATGACTAAAGGTATTTGAAATCGCTAACTGCGGTGTTTTCTTATTAGGATTTTTACAGCTGAACTATAATTAATTTGTATGTGCAGAGTCAGGTGGAGGTTGCTATGGATGTTCACTAGCGAGCGCAGAGCAGTGCCTGACGTTGCTGCGCGCACTCGCGTCTCAGCCGGAGCATCGCGAGCGTCTCTGCCGCTTCGGGGTCGTGCACGAGCTCGTTCATCACAACTTACACCGCGGGACGCCACAGGTACGACCCTTACACCATTCCACTCCACCCTATTCTATCCACTCTTACTTTCTCCCATCTATTTTCCATTCTTTTTTTTTTAACACAATTTTCTCGTCTCTGTTCGTATGTAATCAATTTCCTTTGTATATCACAGTGTCAAGAAGAAGTACGCGCGCTTATTTGCCTGGTGACACGCGACAACTTGCCCGCCACCGAGCAGCTGTGCCACTTGCTGTCGCAGCGCATCACGCTCTCGCTGATGGGCCACGCCGCCTCGCAGGACCACAACAACTCTGTAAGAAAAAATACCATGCGAAAGAGACTATAGCGCAGTAACCGTTGTACATTTCAAGTTTAAATACTTTCTAAAATCATTCTATATTTTTATCAGGTTCGTCCATTGGTACTACTACTCGGGTCCTTAGTCAAGGTACAAGATTCAGTGGATTGTTGGGAAGCCAGACTTAGATGTATCGTTAAACTTTGGGTCTGGTGAGTTATTTATTATATGAAATACTTTTTTATTTACAACTAAAACAGGCGATTTAGAGATTAACACGAAACACGTCATCTTCAACAGGTGTTGTCCTCAACTGACAGAAGTGGCGGGTATCGCACCAGCAGTCAGTTCTTTGTTAAAAACTGAAGCTATAGCTGGTATACCCGGCATCAGTAGTGCCTCGCCTACTTGTAAGTAAAGTATTTACTACTATGCACTAAGGTATTTACTACTATAACAACCAAAGGAAAAACTATAACAGGATGCGTTTTCTAGCTCACCAATTCGCGCTGCAGCAAGTCGCTCTGCCTTGCCTCGGCTATCTACAGCAACTGATGGCACC